TTGAGTTTCACTGAGTTGTTTTACCCAGTACACAGAGGAATTGTCATGGCCTTCAAAGGAAAATACAGTTAACATTTTAAATTTTTCCTAAATGAAGTGATGGAGAAAAGCAGTGGAAATCCCTGTTACAGTTATACCTGTGTATGGGGAGCACTGCACGAAGGGGGACAACAGGATGGGTCAAAACCCAAAAGTGAAATCCTGAGGTCGGGTGCTCTTATTGGGGATTACTGCCCTAAATTTGCCATCTGCAGCCCCTGGAGCTCTTGCTCCGTCTAGCCTGTAAGCAGCCATGGCTCTCCTTACAGCCCTCTGAAGCCGGTCCCATCCAGCATCAAATCCTTGCACCATCTCTGCCAGTGTCAGCCCATGGTTCCAGCACATTTCCGGAAAGGACAAGATTTTCAGGAGGGCTGCAGAGGGATTTTCAATTCTTTGGCACTGCATAACCTTAAACAAGCCATTTTATTGCCCTTTGCTTCATTGCCCCTTCCTCCTTCCTGATTTCTTCTGTAGAATTCGGAAAGCACTTTGCTATCTCATGATGCCGTGGGATATTTTGCTTATTTTGCATCAGTACAGATTATATGATGTTTTACATAAGAAAAGCCTAAGCGCCACTTTTCCCTCACCCGAGGAGCCAGGGAATGAAGGAGGTGGCCGTCCTTGGGAAAGACAAACAGAGCTGCAAGCACCCACTCCCACCTGATCTTCTGTATGCTGAGGACACCGCGATTCAATTCTTAATTTGCAGCTCACTGAATCATAGAATCACAGAATGGTTTGGTTGGAACCGACCTTAAAGCCATCCAGTTCCAACCCCCCTGCCATGGGCAGGGACACCTCCCACCAGACCAGGTTGCTCACAGCCCCATCCAACCTGGCTGAACCCTTCAAGGGTGGGCCCGGCCACAGCTTCTCTGGGCACCCTCTGCCACTGCCTCACCGCCCTCACCGGGAAGAATTTCTTCCTGGTATCTCATCTAAATCTTCCCTCTTCAAGTTTAAAGCCATTACCCCTTGTCCTGTCACTCCCTGCCCTTGTAAAAAGTCCCTCCCCACCTTTCTTGTCGGCCCCTTTCGGTACTGGAAGGCTGCTCTAAGGTCTGCCCGGAGCCTTCTCTTCTCCAGGCTGAACAACCCCAACTCTCTCAGCCTGTCCTCACAGCAGAGGTGCTCCAGCCCTCGGATCATCTTCGTGGCCTCCTCTGGACTCGCTCTAACAGGTCCATGTCCTTCTTGTGCAGAGCAGAGGGGCAGAATCCCCTCCCTCGACCTGCTGGTCACGCTGCTTGGGATGCAGCCCAGGACATGGTTGGCTTTCTGGGCTGTCAGCGCACATTGCCGCGTCACGTTGAGCTTCTTGTCAACCAACATCCCCAAATCTTTGCCCTCCAGGACCAATCCATTTTCCACCCAGACTGTATTTGTGCTGGGGACTGGGAATCCTGATAGAGAAAATATACAGCATAAATAGTCAGAGGGGGGAACCCAAAATCCCATTTTCTTGCTCACAGTGCCACTGTGCAGGCTGCAGGAGGGCAGGGGAGGGAACTGTGAAGTAACCTGGCTGCAGAGGACTCCGCTGGCTGGGCCGGCCTTCCCTCTCCTCGCAGCAGCCTGTGCCGTGCCGTGCTTTGCACTTGTGGCTAAAATTGGGTCAATAACCCACCGGGGCTGGGGCTGAGCAGGGCTTGCACAGCCTGAAGGCCATCACTGTGTCCCACTCTGTCCCCCGGCGAGCAGGCTGGGGGTGGGCAAGGGGTCGGGAGGGGACACAGCCGGGACAGCTGAGCCCAGCTGACCCCAGGGATGCCCCATACCATACGGCATCGTGCTCTGCTATAAAACTGGGTGAGCGGACAAAGGTGGGGGTTTTGTCTTTGAGGGTGGCTGTAGCTCAGAGCTGGGCTGGGCATCGGGCTGCTTGTGGGTGGACTGGTTGCTTTTGCATCACTTGTCCTTTTCCTCTTTCCTTCTCTTATTAAACTCTCCTTACCCCAACCCACAAATTTTCTCGCTGTGTGGGTGTGTTTGGTTTAGCTCACGCGGTGAGAATCACAAACCTCGCTGCTCTGCCTTTTGCCCACCTCAGGAGCCGCTCTGTCCTCCTCCTCCATCGGGGCACAAGTACGCTCATCGCAAAGATCACCATTTGCAAATGTTGTTTCTGTTTCTCCCCAAAGTGGCTTCAAGAAAATTCCATTGGGCCTTTCAGACCCCGAGGGACCCAGGGTGTCTGCTGTAATGCTCAAATCGCACATTCTTGCTTCTATTCCCTTGTAAATCACAGGTTCTTGCACTGCTCAGCATTACAGTTGCCAGCCATCTTCCGATACCCACTGCAGCAAGGGCAACTATTGCATTTCTGTCCCTTCATCTGCTCTCCTGGAGCAGAGAACATCCTTACCAGCGTATTTTTGCATGCGTATGTGTTGTTGTTTATCCTTAAGAGGCAGTTAGAAGGGTAGGCCTGGCTCTTGGGAAGGGATTGCAGCAATCCTTTCCTGCTGAAGCCCAGCTCACGCCATCCAGATAGCTGCTGGAATTACCTCAGCTGTCATCGTTCCTGTGACGAACTTCCCGTGTAGCAGGACGTCTCTCAAATTTGCTGCAAAACCATTATCAGCACACCAAATATAATCCACTTAAAAATATTAAACCAAATGATTGCAAACAAAAGATGAAGTAATTTTTCAAGAAATCTCAGTGCAGCTTCTCTGAGCTGCATGATACTTGTTTCACAGAGGTCAGGTTTTGCAGGACCAAAGTATCACATGAAGGCCTTGCACCACTCCCAGAAAGGCAAACTGCTTGCCGAGAGCTCTGTGCACACACAGGAGCCACATTTTGAAAATTGATGCCATGATAAATACATAGCTAAAATAATCCAGAAATAATGCCACTTGTACTCAAGGAGTTTGACTCTCGAGAAAAAACTGGGCATCAGAGTATTGTTTATAACATTGAGACGTCCAGAAATCACAATAGGATCTTCTAGCTTAAAACTGGAGTAGAAGGTATGAAGCAAATTAATGGGGATGAACTGGGGCCAAGACATCAGTGATCATGGGAAGTGCCATGACCGACTCATTACTAAGGTCATTCATGTTTCACCTCAGGTGCTTGGTGCTTCTTCCCCTCCCTTCCCTCGGGCGGCTGTTGGAAAGGTCGTTATTTCCATGAAAGCACTTCATGACTGCAGGACCAAAAATCCTGAATTCCTAGCCCAAGGGAGTTTCTCATGCTTTCTGCAAAAGGTCAGCCAGAGCTCAAGGTTGGCCTAGGGCTTGAGGCTTGGCCTAGGTCTTGCTTCTCCACCTTGGAGTGGGTGCAGATACCACACGGCCCCCGCTAAGGTATATTCAAAACTTGTGGCAAAGCTCGCCTCTCCCTGCAGCAACCCTGGTGTGCCCTGTGAGAGCCTTCACCACGCCACACAAGCTGGAGCACATACCTTAACTCTTCATCTAGGGGATGGAACCTGCTTAGATACCGCAACCACAGACACCTCAACAAACGAGCAGCAGCCTTCTGCTTGATCTTTCTCATCCTTTCTGAAAACATGCCTACAAGAACTCGTGAGGGAAACTTCCAGCCACAGCTTTTAGGTGTTGTGACAAAATTTGTTCTCACTTACAGGACAGCAGCCACCTACTAGGCCAGAAGGGTGATTTAATGTCAATTGAAAAGGAAAAAAGGACAGCTGTCAATGCTGTGCACTCAGACGGTACTGTGACAACGGCAAGGACTTCTCTGCTGCAGGGGTGGTAAACCATTTGCCATCACTCCTGAGAAGTTTCACTGTGAACAAAGTGCATCTGGATAAGATAAGCCGTACTTGCCAGGTACACAGCTCCTCCTTTTTTGAATCTGAAAACGTGGGTTCAAGTCATGCAAGTGATCAACACGTACTGCAAATTTTATTTTTATTTCCTTATTACAGAAACTAAATTAGCATATGCCTACATCTTGATTAAAACAAATTCACCACTGCAGGAAAAAAAAAGCATTCTTTTTATTCCCTAAAGCACACCTGTGAACATAGAACAAAGTCTACTGTCAGTACGTAAAAGCTTCTCCTTAGTGCACCTCTTCATTGCAGTTTCTCTATTAGTTCTTTTTAAAAAAATCATTACACCTTAGGTATTTATATACGCTTGCATTAAGCTTTGCATGATCTACCCATAACGCAATTCACTTCTAGAAGAAGTCAGTTAAGAAGCGAAATCAAAAAGGCCCCTTAAGTTTGCTGTATTTACATTTGCAATGGCTAAATTTTAAATACTTTACAGTAACTCCCAGCACTGGCTCCTAATTCAAAGGATTAGTGCATTCCGTGATTTCTTTATAACTATTTTCTAGAGGGGATTAAGTTGTCCATACCTACAGCTATGGAGGTACCTCAGCTATCTACCTGAAGTACTTTATAGGAAATAAACATGCTGACAAAAATATTTATAATAATGAATAACAAATGAGAAACTCAACCTTTAGGAAGACTGGACAGCTGTTTGGTTTTGTGCTGCAGTTGTTGTGGGCTGTGGGAACAGCAGCCATGTGGAAGAAAGAGCAGTTCAGGAGTGCTGAAGTCCAGAGCAGATCCCTCTGGTTCCTTCGGAAAGAGAGCTTTACGGTCAGCTCCCATTCCCTCCTCTCTTTCACCACGTCTCCCCTGTTACTACTTTTTTCTTAAATCATCGGGCAAATTTCTGAACTGTGACAGCGTACAAATTTACTTCAGAGTGGGGAAAAAAAGTAATGATGCGCCTGCTGACAGGCAGACTTGCGTTACCTGAATAAAGACAGATCTATTCCTCTGAGTTTTACAGTTTATGAGCGGATGCGGGTCTTGTGGCAACTGAGAAACTGCTGTAAAGATTAACAAATGGGATGCACACGCATTTATCTGTTCTTACATATTTTCAAAACCCAAACAGAGTGAAGAAGTAGCTGTGATTCAGGTAGGTCCAGAAGACAATTTTTTTTTTCTTACACAATAAGGTAGATTACTTAGCACATTCCAGGTTAAAAAAAATTACAGTAAACATTCAGTAACTGGAATGCATATAATATACAAGTACCATTACATTTACAAAGCTGTTCAGGATGATTTTTCTTTCTAGAATAAGCATAAAAAAGTTACAAGCTAATTCACAATAACTTTAGATACAATGTTATTAAAATACGTTGATGTTAATCATAAAAATATTTTACTATTTACATGTACATTGTATAAACCTTAACAATAAGAATATGCCCATTTTAGGATGCCTTAAATGAATATTTAGGCAGATTGGCCCATTTTATAGTGCAGTATCCCTGTTTTGGTCTTCACACCATGAAACTGTGCCAGATTCACAGTATCTTTGCTAGTGCTTTGCTAAAAGGCTTAAACTTTCTATCATTTAAGAAACATTCATTCATTACAAAGAGCCAGTTTTGTTTCCACTTTGTTTCTTATTAAATCCTACCCCCAATAGTTCAGGACACTCTGCCTGGCCTTGTGCGATTTGGTTGCATTTCCAAATAAGGCTGTAATTCATTTCATCAGTTATGACGCTATCTTGCTTGTAGTCTGGATGCTGCGCGATAAATTCCCTCATCCATCGAGCCACTGTCATTAATTCTCCTGTGGGCAAGGGAAAGTAAAATTTCACAGTTTATACACCTAATTTAGCAGTATGACACCTAAAGTTCTATGCATTATATACACAATTAATGAATAGCCCATGCTTTCATGAGAAACACATTGCTATATGTATTTTTTTTAAAAAAATATGCCTAAACTGCAGGAATAATTAAGCTGACATATCGCCGAGAGTCTAAAATCCACTCGTCTGGCGTGATTTTCAAACTTTCAGATGTTGTAATGAGACAGTGCAGAGAGAAGTTATCTCCTGCAACTAGTGTTATCAACAGATTGTATAGCAAGAGGTCTTAAACATATCATTGAACAGAGAATCTGGCTGAGATGAACCAACAGACACCTCTACAACAACTACATAGATCTAAAATAATTTTGTAGTTGATCCATCCAGCTCAGCTGCGAGCTTTGCTCTGCCTACCTTGATTTACTATTCTTTCTTCCTCTGGCAGCTTCCCTCACCAAAAAATAGGCAGGTTCCCGATGACACCGACTCCTGGTTTGTACATGCTGTCTCTGCTTCCCTCTGCAGCCCACAGGTGCCCCAGGGTCCCTGACACTTCTGTACAGGGTCACCAAATGGCACACACGGCACCTGCAGGAGACCCGCAGCCCTGTGAAGTAGCAGCCAGAGGCCAGCTGGACACTGGTGTTTAGGCTGGCTCCTGAATGCAGCATATGCAAGCAAACCTTAACTAGTACAAGTTTAAGGTAAGTCTGACAGTAAGACGTTAAGGTTGGCTGATGGGATGCTCGAAGAGCCTCGCAAAACTTTCATTGCTAAACTAGAACCTCAGCTTCCTTTTAAGAGTGGAAAGAGTCAAGGTCTTCCACTACAGAAATCTTTGGTTTAAGGATATTATAAAAAGCAAGAGGAATCAAGTTAGGGAAAGCAAGCACGAACACAAATAAAAAGTAAAAAGCATCCAAGACTGTTTAAAGATACCCTGACCGTGGTTTTGAACAGAGGTACACAAACACAAATCAGAAAAATTGTGAAAAGTACAGGAAAGAAAAGCAGAATAAAGTTATTAGAAATAAAAATGTCCCTCAAAAACCAGAAGTCATGTTTTAAAGAAATTAGGCCAGAGTTTACACTTCTATATAAAACAAGGGCAGGAAGGAAATACCCAAGAAGCGTTATTTGTTGAAGGCACTAAAAACTCACACGAAAACTTTCTCAAATCAACAAGAAGCAAGAGGGCCTGCAAGAAAATCAGTGGGGCCGGGAGATGAGCGGAGCATAGAGACACATTTTTGGCTGAAAAGCCAGTGCAGGCCATCAGCGTGGGAGGAGATGGGAGAGCAGTCCAGTTCACACCAACACAGACACCTTGTGATCAGGAGCTCAGTCACTCCCTGTCCTTCGTAAAGGTGTAAATCTGCAGCATCTTCATCGTGAGCAAAGCCTGCGGCTCTCAACGTATTGGGAAAAGGCACCACAGACTGACAAAAGGTCTGGGACAACTTCCAAGTGAGGAGAGACAAGGCAAAGGGAATCACAAGCTCAGAAGTGCCAATATACTTGGGAAGTTTGCAAAATTATGAATGGCGACAAGAAGTACAGAAACATCCTACAACGCAGGAACTAGAAGGCGTATCATGAAACAACTGGGTGGAGCATTTAAACATGCAAAACTACAGGAATTACATTTTTCAAAGAGCAAATAATAAAACTTTGGCATTTCTTATCGTACGACTTTATGGGGACCAAAAGCGTAACTGCTTCAAGAAGGGTAAGGCAACGATCACAGAAATCACGTTTGTGAATGGTCAAACGCTACGATTACTGCAGTACCATCAGCCAAGAAAGCACCCATGCCACAGACAGCCAAGAACCGGGAAAGCACAGCAGGACAAGGATCGCTCGATGCTGCTATCTTAATATTTCATTAATATTTGGCAGTGGTCAGCAGCTGCTGCCTGCCTAGCAAATCTGTAGTCTCATGGAGTTATGACAGTCAAACGCCAGCTAGACAGAGACCAGGAGGGCAGTACCTAGCTGTGCTGCAAGGGAAGATGCGATCAAAGCACAGATGAACTATGTCAGGGCAAGGGTAAAGCCACAGCAGCTAAAGTGCCAATGTTTAACTCTCACGAGTGCTCTGTGTTCACCTTTTGAGGAGAGAAATCTCAAAAGTGGCCACTCTTTGTCAACATGTCTCATGCTAGACAGGCTGCATTTCAGGAACATCTAAGATTGAGAGTAAACTGGAACAATCCAAAGCTCACAATTGAGAAACACCATGGCACAGTACTAGAATACCTAAATGCTTTTTATTCGGCGAGTGCTGGTTCTTAATAAGCAAAATTTAAAAATTATTTCAGTTCATCAAAGTTAAGATATAAACCCTAGACTCTATCTACCTCACTCTCACATCTTTTAGGTCTGTGTAAATACATGAGCTGACTTGTGCAATGCCGGCAACTTCGCAACAGGTAGCAAAGTTGTTCTTTGGAAGGAGACCACCTGCCGCAGGGGGCTGAGCCCAGGTCATCTGCTCTTGGGGAAAAAAACTCTGTAAGACTTACGCATTCCTTGGGTTTTTTTTTTCTTCTTTTTTTTTTTTTCCCAAACAGTGTTTTTCTGAAGGGAAAAAACCCAGTAACAATGGAATATTTTGAAAGCATTGCTATTGTGAGGGCTGATGTGCCTCAGATGTTTTCCTCCTGACGGTTCCTCTTCTCTCCCTCAGTTAAGCTAAGCATCAAATGCCTGTCTATGATACCTGAGGGACAGAAGTCTCCTACAACAAGCAGCCTTAGGAAAGAACATTTACAGTGAAAGCTGTAATTAATTAAAACTTGTTACCATTCTGAAGTACTGCTAAAGTACTGAATTACCAGGTGAGAGAAAGTCCTCATTTCCACCTCAGCTTTAAAAAGGTCTTTACCTAGAAGCTTCTACAGCAATTTTCAAGAATTAAAAAGGAATGCAAGACTTTAGTTTAAAATTGGGGAGAGAAAAAAAAAATGTCTTGACTTATGAGACTAAAATTAACTGTCTAGCTGAATTTGCAGTAAGGCAGGCATACAAGGGATTTGCACATAGAAAGCTATAAAGCTGCTGCAGACTGTGCTACACGCTCAATTCTGAATTAAAGTTTAGCTTGCATCTTTTACTCATTATACCGCATTTTAAAAAGGAGCATAAAGAGTCATACCACCTGTCTTTGAAAACACTGCAACATGGGAAAGACGAGAAGAGCCTGGTTTGCTCTGCCTTGAAGGAGTTTTGCTACTTAAAGAAGGGCTTTCTTATCAAGGAGCTAAAGACTACGTCCCATGCTCGAATGTACCGGAATTTAGACTTATGAATGCTTTGGACTCGCACCAATAACACCACGCGATCAGATCCAGCCTCGCATACTCTTACAACACTCAAGCAACAAGCAAAGGGGATTAGTGTATGTGCAAACTACTACAAAGTGGACAATACATTAGCAAAAGCAGCAGTAAGTGGTGCTGAAAGGAGAAATTTTGGATTGGAGATACAACGACAGCTTAAAGCGTAGCATAACTGAATCAATTACTCCTAATTTAAGTTCCAAAATGGATCACAAAACATTTATAATCAGAGCTAGACAGGACCACAGGTAAGCCAGAGAACGCGCTGCAGTCCTTTGCTCTTACAATTCAATGCTTAACCAGCCAGCCACAGCTGCCAGAAGTTTCACCCAAGTGAAAGAGAACAGCCCAATTACTGCCTAAGCAGAAAAATGCCAGGAAAATCAAGGTCCAAAAGTGTCAAACATACCAGATGCTCTCTTTTTTATTAGCTTCAGGTAGTTTAGAATGGTGCACCTTGTGTCCACATCCACTTCCATGTTTTCAAGATAGGAATTCAAAACTGGGATCAAACCAGGAAAGACTCCTTCCTGTGTAAGAGAACAGAGTCAGCATAAAACACGTTCGATCTGGTTTCTGGGAGGGCAGAATAGAGGGAAAGTTGTGTGTTCCAGGCAGAAGAGGCTATGACCTTCCCATTGATAATTGTATCAATGCTCATTAAGGTGTACTCTTCCGCATTGCTGCCTGTCCCGTTCTGTGCAGAGCCACATCCATCCACAACGGTGTTTCCACCTTCACGGGTGACAAAGGGAAAGGAAGAAACAGTTAGAAGGCAAGAGATGCACTAAACATCCACAACAGCGTTAATCAGATTGCTTGTTGTGATACCTTTGCAAATATCTTTTCTGAAGTAAAACATTCCCTGCCGGACAGCATCTCTTTTCTGGGCCATCTTCATGTTTTCATCCACCTGGCAAAAGAAGTATTTCAGAGATCTGTGACATTTTACAAAATTTGGATTCTCCTCACATTTTGGTCTCATTAGTTGAAACAGCTACTATGTTTCTTATTATTTCATTGCACAAGGCCAAGCTGTGCAGATAAGCTTTATTTCATTCTTTGGAGGTCCTGGGCAAAACCACAAAGAGATGATGTTCTATGAAATCAGGTCTCCAGCAGGAAAGGTAATGGTATTGTGTTAGAACATGCTATGCTAATCTTCTAGGTTTGGATGAAAACACAGAACATCTGTGATTAGCAGGTTGCATCCCATCTGGCAGACTTCTTTGCATGTTTAGATGCAATTTAAATGAGTAGAGAAGAAGAAAATTGCCATTTCCCTAGCCGTAGTTTGCTGCTTTTATTAACAAAATCATTGAGGTCTCTAGAAGAGTTATCACTGTATTAAACAAGCTTTCAGAAACAGAATTCCAGTAACTTTGCATGGGAAACATATCTATTCCATACCCAAACATCTGTTAGATAAACTTAGACTGCTAGTAAAGAAATTCTAAATTGCGGGCTTCTCAAAAAGTCCACAAACTATGACATAAGCATTTCTCTGTCTTTCTGGACGGAAGATTTTGTCCAAGTTCTTTAGTCAGTATGTTCTCAGGGAATTAACATCACACAGCTTTCAGATATTAGCTTTACTGTATTGTCTTCAAAAGAAGGAATACGATTTGTTGAATTCTTTGTTTGACCTTTAATTAAGGGCAATGCAGAATCTCCACTTACTTCTTTCTTTTCAAAGCTTTGTTTTCAAAAGTCTGTTTTCATTCATTTTATGTTATGAAACCTATTTACACAACAGGCTGTTTTGAAAATTTGAAAGAACTCCAGTCCTAGCTGACAGGAGTACAACCACACTCAGACAGCAAAGATGAGTGTGAGATTAGCCCCATAAACCTGTAGTATTTTACTTGAGAGAGGCAGGCTTACCAATGGTTGTGCAATCCGCAGTTGCATTACCTGCCAAATTGCTTGGCAAGCTCAAGCAATTTTGTGCTCCTCTCCAGCGCCCCAACTCTGTTCAGGTGCTTAACTGGTATTCATTAGTTAAAAATGTTGCACTTTTGAGACATTCCAAGTAACAACGTAATTAGGCACTGTTAGTGTCAAATTGCTGCATTATTTATGAAGTCTGAACTCCCTGACATCAGGAAGAGAATTTCTCCTTTTAGAAATCATACCAACTGTATGGTATGATCACTGTTCATTTACAACTTCGGTATTTTTCTCCATTTTAATTAAAAACACTAAGAAAAGCCGCAGGATACTACAGCTTTGCTGTAGCCAGTGCTAGCAGTATTTTCTAGTACACAGCCTGTCAAAAACCTTCTGCGCTACGAGGCCTTTTTAAAAAAGTTACCTATAACATTGCAGGACTATCCATTTAAAAAGACACTTTCTGGTCAGGTGCCTCAGAAAGAAGATGTGCCAAGGACAGTTTCACCCAAAATAGTGAGGACAAGATTCAGGAAAAAGCACATTTTGCACAGCTAGTCTGTCTAAACACAAGTCACAGCTGTGACCAGAATCTGCAGTCTGTTTTCGCTGAAATTCTGTGTAACACTAAGCATGCTGAACTCCTCCTTTCCCTCTCCCCCAGATACAAACAAAATAGAGAATAAAACCAGGAGATGTAGGCAACAGCCATATTAAAATAAATAGCTAAAGCTTTTATTTTGACCACCACAGGTTATTTTCCCCCACATGTGAACTGGTGGAAACATGCCCTTTCCTAGTCTCAAAACACTCTTGTGACAATGGTATTTCTCAACATTTCTGCAGTAGTCAGACACTGTTAGGCACCACAGAAATGTCCACAGTATTTGTCTATAAGCTTAGCTCCAGGAAACAGCAGTAAAATATTTCTTTAATACCGTAGAGTTGAAATTGATTCAAAGTACTGGTACAGATGAAAAGTGACTTAAAGATAAAAATGACTGTTCTGTAAGTGCACAAATATTAGTTCTTGTCTTGCAGAGGATAAAAATCAGACTTGATGCAAATACGTTGCATTTAGCTCTCATCGATCTGGTCTTTCACACCTACCTTGGACAAAGGAATGAGAAAATCCAGTTTATATGACAGAATCACTCTGGTTAGCAATACCACGAACACGACATATGCAGAGTTTTCAAAATCTGTTAACTGGACCTAGAGATGAAAGGATTAGAGATTAAATTACTTTAGTGAGAACACACTCATGGAAGTAGATAAATCATCTGGGAGAGTTTAAAACAGTTTGACTCGAATGTTCATGTTGGTACTTGTATTCACACACACTTTACTAGCAGAGATGGCGATGCACGAGTGGGAATCATCAGCACATCAAATGCAGAATGAATACACACACTTCAACAAAGTCAACCCTTTAATCCAATGCCAAAACACACTCACGTTTCAAAAGACTATCTAATAATCTGCACCTTCAGGCTCTCAGTGTAATTACAAACGTATAATAGCTTTTAAATTTCCACTTTAAAGGGATTAAATTCAGAGGGCTCAGAACTAGACAGCTAGAAAATAAAAGCACTTGTGAAAAACAAAACAATGACAGCGGAATTGTTCGGTACCAGGAAACGTACTGAGGAAATACAGTCCGTAGAAGCTAAATGGGCCTTTGTTGCTTTAATACAAGCCTAATTCCTTTCGCCATCACCCCAAATCCATTAGCATGCTTTGCTGTGCTGCAGTGGATTCTCCTGTCAGTTACATTCCCACAGTCCACGTCTGATTAAACACTGCTGTCCACTTCACTTGCATCCAGTAATTCAGAGGGGAGAAAAACACAGCATAAGTAATAAGGGTTTGCTACTGGATGGCAGAATGCCTGGTACTTTTCCACTTCAAAGGAAATGTGCTTTTGTGTATACTGACGCCTTCCTTACCTCCATAGGTCTGAATTCCACTCTCCAGCCAATATCTGAATTTGGAGGAGGTGGCTTAAACCTCATTGTCTGCCAGTTTGTAGACTGAATATTCTGCAAAGGACATGAAATGATCTGTCACAATCAAGATATGCATCATTCTACAATATAATCAAAGAAAAGTAAGCAGATAACTAGAGTCCTAGTATTTTCCCTGGAACAGCCCATCAAGTTAGAGAAGTGCTTCCAAACTAAGTGGCATGACTTCCTAAAAACCACAGTGTAACTACCCAGCATAGGAGCATTACACTTTCTCATGCTATTTTGGTTGAAGATTACGTATAAGATACCAGGGGGCTGAGATTTAGTCGACATTTGGTTTTTTTGTTTGGTTTTTTTTTTTTTTTGGTGTGGGTTTTTTTTTGGTTTGTGTTTTTTTTTCTTTTTTTTCTTTTTTTTTTTTTTTAACAACGGGTTGATGCATCTCAAACTAAAAATACCTGATGTTACCATAACTCTTATTTCATAAAGCTGCATAAGACAGACATTTATACGTAAATGTTGTGCAAAACAGTTTTTAGGAAGCCATAAAAATAGACAGTTCCCCATAGCACTTATATCCATAGCTATAGTTTGGGCTCTTTGTATTTTATTGAGTTTAAAGTATAAGCCACCACCCTCTCCTAAATAAATGATAAAACAAAGAAATAAATGTGCTTATAACTGCAGTCATATGCTAAAGAGCTAGTTGAAGTGAAAAATTCAGGAAAAAAAATTCTTAGCTAATATAGCCATCCTCCAATTAAGCAGTACTATAAAGAATAAGCAATTTTACATATATATTTATTAAATTCCTCTAAATCAGACACAACCTCAAAATGGTCGGATTCATTTGCATCATCTAGATGTATTTTCTCCTCAAACAAAGTCAATGGGTCTCGAATGAACAAGTGTGCAATATGCTGTGCCAAAAGGTGGTCAATACCTACAAAACGAAAATTCAAACAAACAATTCACACATAGCAAAGCAGGCTCTAGGAAATTATTTGTTTTACAAGTCTGAAAACATCCAACTCTGCAATGCTACCTTAACCCACCACATCCTGTTAAAGTTTAAATGATGACTTCGAGAAGGAAGGAAATTATTAAAGAGAAGAAAAACAAAACAAAATAAGAACAGGTTCTTGTTTGGAAATGGCAGCTGAATATTGGTGTGGCTGCCATTCTTCCCCTTTTCTGATACACCTCTGTGCCACGTTTCCTAAAGCAGTTCTGCTCTCTCCACAAAGATAAAAACATTAATGTGTCAAACACTGAGCTTCTGAAGCTGGAATTAGGGACACTTTCTGTTACAAACAAATATTTTTTAAAAAAACAAAACCAAACAACTCAACTCTGAAGACCATGCTACACAGATACTTCCTGAGCAAGAGTCACTCCGAGGGATGCACTATGATTGAAAAAAACAAGAATGAAAACGTAAAATATCCCCACACATTGCAAGCATAATTCTTAACCTGCTCATAATGAAGCAAGCACTTACCTTCCTTTATTAGGTGCTCGTAGATATCTTTGTCTATTGTCAAATCAATGTCATTGTATTTCTCACCACATTCAGATAGATAACTGTCTATGGAATCATATCTGGATTTACTGATTCTATAATGGTTGTTCTTCAGTGGCTATATAATTTAAGAATACAATATTTTAACAGCTTGTTAACAATGTTACCTAAGTTTTGCTCACTAATGACACACGTGAGAATTATTATCCTGTTTAAAAAAACCCTACAGCCTCAATTGAAATTATTCAAAGCACGAGTCTTAAATAGGCTTAATAGAAAGCGATCCTTGAATTATGACTATTTTGTTTGCAGATATATGTATCTGAGTGAAAAAACAGTCATCACACATTGACTAGAATTCGCTAAAAGTGGAAACATTTTCCTGATGTAATAGACCATTACCCCAAGTACCTGGAAAGCATTACTGTACCTATCACAACACATACCAATACAATTTCATTATGTGCATGTTGTTAGAGATACTCTTAAAACAGGTAGTTCAAGAAATACTTGAAGTAGATTTTTTTGAAAATTATTTTCTTATTTTCTATAATTTTCTAAGTGCCTTGAATGCCAATACCTGCTTAGAGAAACCCTTTTAAGTTCAAGTTCTGACAACTGGCTCTTTTCACATAGTTCTAGTTGCTACTACTGGATTACTCAGCAGCACCTGCTATTTAATCCAAAGCAGTTTTTGCTTTTTGAGCTCAAGCACAGACTGGAAAGTTTCATCACAGGGGGACCATTCCAGCAAGCTGTGGAGGAGTGAGTGGCGTTCTACTGGGATTCGATACCTAACTAAAAATACACGTTTGCTAACATAAACTGTACAACCAAGGCGAATGTCTATGCCATCTCCCCAGTATTTACCACAAAGACTGCCATGTTCCCTCGTCAGGGATTCTGATGAGCACAAGCAGAATTTGATATTAAAGGAGATTTAACATTTTTGCCTGAAAAAACCCCAGACATCTACCACCTAAAGTTACCTACCTCTAGCCCCCTTTCCTCTCGTGTTCGGTCATCTACAGATGCGGAGATTACTCCCCAGCGACAGTCAATATCAGACACGTAGCCTCTGTAGAACGGAGATGCAGCACTCAACGCCATCTAAAATAAAACAGCTGGATATGAAAACAAAGGACAAGCCAAGGAACCAAAAGCAAAATACAACCCCAGTGGAAAGAGAAACTTGCTGGTCCAGAAGTAACTGAAGTATAAACTTCAGTTTAAGATACAGCCAAAACCCAAATAACCACAAATCTCTCAACCACTATCTCCAGAAAATGCCTCGATAAAAGGGTTAGTATTATGAAGTGGCATCTGACACTCTCCAAATTTATTACCTCTACAGATCAGCATTTAAGGAACACAAAGATGACATAGGCAGAAGCAACTTCGTGACAAACCTGCAAGTATTCTGCTTGCAGACTTCCAAACTCCAAAAGTCCACCTGGCAATCATTTTATTGTGGTTATTTTTGTTTGTCCAAGCACCTTAGCAACACAGCTGGAACATACCTCACTCCGAGCAGGATCTGCTCACCACCTAGACCAGACCAGTACTTTATTTTTGTAGCACTTGTTTATGACCACATGCTTACAAAAGGGACAGATTTAAACAACTTAAGCTGAAACCCTCTGTAACATCAGATCAGAGTTGAAAAATTAAAAATTGTTTTAAGTAGTGAGCTCGTCTTGTTTTTAGGAAATACTGCCCCAAATGTATTTCTAGAACTCTTCAACAAGAGTCTAGTGCATGCAGGAAGGAGGGCAGAAGAGAAGAAACATCATCTGCTTGGTGGTGTCATCTGGACATTAAATAAATCACACTGCTCATGTGACAACCTAGCAAGAAACTGATGCTTCTGCCAGAACACCAAATCTGTGAGTAGCATTCAAGTTTGTTTCTTTTTAATTTTTTTTTTTTTTTTTTTTTAATATGTAGCAGCTTTCACACAATGAAGAGCTGATGTGATAGAAGTCCATTACTTACCACAATGGGACAGATTGTGGCTAGCTGATCATAGAGATACCTTGCTTCAGAAATGCTGCAAGCCTGGAACGTTACCTGTTGAAAGAAGTACAATTGCTATCACACTTTCTATAATCATAGCGCAAGCACAGTCTTCCTAGATTTAAAAACAATGATATAAGAAAATTATTTAAATACCAAGAATTTTAAGAGGCTTTTTTGTTTGGTTGGTTTTGGGTGGAGATTTTTATGTGGATTCCTCCCCTTCTCCCCCCGAATCTTGGACAAACTTTTGCCCCATCTATCAGCATTTATATCACAAGCTTCTTTCCACACCATTTCGCTGTTCATTAAAAGATTTCAGACCACAATGCTTTGGCTGTGAGGCTAAATATACAAACACTTGCCAGAACCAAAGAAAACGGAGTTAACATCTACAATACACCTGGGTCGGTAAAGCACCTTCAGGAAATAAGCCAGGAACCTACCTACATATAATAGTCAGAAATTATTGTAGAAGTAGTATTTGTTTTGTGGGACAGCTAATCCTGTTTTAAGGAACATTTCAAGATGCCTTTGTTTGAACCTGCAAAACTGCAAAAAAATAAGTACCTTCGTGTCTACTGTAACTTTTATTTAAAAAGCAAAACAAAACTTTTTTCCTCTATTACAGGCCAGGACACAGTAAAAGATAGAAAAGAAATGTTATTTGCAGAAGCCATTAACGATGTGGAAGCCCTACCACACATGGGCCACTGGAAAATGTAACTTCTTTGCAACTTTTGGTGAAATTTGCCCAGATATGCAGAGATGAAACACAAGATGCATATCCAGTAGCAGACCTTACCCTCCAGACTTCCTAAACTGAAACTTTACACATTTTAAAAATGCAGAGGGGGATCACTCACTTCAAAACTGTTAAAAGAGATGCTAAACAGATTAAAAGCCTCTCTCCTTCTTCGCAGTTTACATATTCATAGATCAGAGGATAACTTAGATGGGAGTGTGCCCCTGTACCACTAGCATAACATCGTACAGCAGGCTTCAGCTCTAAATCGCCATTGGTGCTTGTCGTCCTGAAGAATGCCAGCTGAACACAGATTTTCCTCTTCCATGGATTACAATTAGCAAGTCCCACAAAATATACAGGTTCTTCTCAGTCTGCGGCTGAGGCCAATCCAACCCCAAGTAGGCCTTAAACGAACCCAACCAACCAAAATTCCTCAGTTCAGTGGTGGGCTCAATGTTGGATTTTTTTTAGGGGTGGTGTAGGAGGAATATTGGATTTATTTGTGTTTGTCTTTTTAAATCTGCAGCCAACATTCATTAAAACATCCCAAGTTAGAAAAAGAGTGTGCAGTAGAGAAAATATTTCTTCTGTGTCTGTCCTTCAAGTGGCTATCAGAAAAAAAACCAAAAAACAAAAACCAAAAAGCACTTTGAAGAGACAAGATTATTTAATTCTCTTGCAGAGAAGCAGCTGAGTACGATTTCTCACCACTAATTTTGGACTTTCAGCCAGGGAGCCTGCCTTGGGGCTGGGAAGCGCCAGGGAGGACGCCTACACTATTTCCTCTGAACACAGCGATATCTGCCTTTCCTTCCCTTTTACGTTTATTCCAAATCACATTAAATCTGGGATTTGACCTGGTTTCTAGCCAAATATCCCATTACAGAAGAAAAGGGCTCGGTCATCTTCTCCAGAGGATGGCTGCAGGGGCAGCACCTCCCACTACACCGTTGCTGCCGGCCATCCCAGCCAAGCTCATCAGGACATTATTTTTAACCTTGGAAATACGTCAAGCAAAGCGGTAGCTTTGTGCACAGTGAGAAAAAGAAAACCAAAAGGAAGCGTGTATGCTGCAAACTACCTTACAGAAAATAGGTGGGGAATATATGTTTTCTTCTAGTCGGTTATGGAGAACTACCAGTTGATACACAAGCAGCTGCCTGTAGCACCTGCCAGCCTGGTTTTCATTCTCCCTTTCATGATAACAAGACTATTGAATTTAACAACTGATTACAAGAATGGGGAATAGTAAAATGGTATTCCTTAAAATTGAATTTAATATATTTTTAAACAAGTTCATGCAATGACTGAACAGTAAGGCTGTATTTCTTTTATTGGTCTTAAACAAGAAAGAGATAGTACAAAATAGACCATATTAAACTTAACACCTTGTAAAACCACGCAGTATTACGTACACTTTCCTACTTCATCAGATTCTCCCAAATTTGCCCGTAGTGACAAGAAATCATACTTAGCAACTGTCAAGACCATTTCATTTATTCAGCTTTTGTAGTTTCTCAAATGGAAGTGCTTTGAATGAGGTTATTTCTGCCACTGCTGTGAAACAAGAAGAGCTTGGAGAATTTCCTTTAATCCTCTAGAGACTTAACGTTAGCCTCTTCCTAGCTGTGCTTCCAAGCCGGTGGTGGCAACAGGCGGATTTTATCAACACTCAAATACATCGCTACTACCGAAGGCATCAGCCCCTAGCATCAGGTTACTATGACAAAGAAACATTTAAAACAAACAGATATTGACAGGATTAAAGCACTTCCAAGATACAGCACCTGGATTTAAATGGAGGATACTGTAAGATAGTAGTAACTCAGGCAAATGAATGAAGACAATAAAAAGTGGGCATGCGTTAACGGGAGAAAATGGAATCAAGAATGTCTGCCAGCACGCAGTAAAAGACGACAGCTACCTATATGGATTTGGTAGGTTCACGGCACAAGCAGCGAGAAGACTTCTTAGCAGAGAGCTAAAAATATTTAAGACAGACAAATTTTATGCAGGAGTTCACACTGTTTGTAAATAAAGTAAAATTACATAGAAGGAGAAAATTACTTATTTTTTAAGATATTCCAGTGACTTCTTGTTACTCCCTGCTTTTGCTGTTCTAGGAATGGGGAAGAGGGGAAAAAACCCAAAACGAATAACCGAAAAACCTCACACATTCCTACAAGACAGTTCAGTTTCCCTTCCCACAGTGTCCTTTCGTCATGACTGAGACCACCACAGTGGAAGATAATCTTTCACACCTGAAAAGTGCTGGAGTTCCAGGAGCACGTGCTTGATCAAATGGGGTTTGACCAGTTCAAGAAACCCTTTCAGCAAGGCATCCAACTACATTTGACTATTAGGAGAAAATAAACATAATGCAAGCAAATAAACCTAGTGTGGTGGGCTGACCCTGGCTGG